TAGGAGTAGTTGCAGCAGCAGCAGCAGCAGCAGTAGCAGTAGTAGCAGTAGTAGCAGTAGTAGCAGTAGTAGCAGTAGTAGCAGTAGTAGTAGTAGTAGTAGTAGTGGCACCACTACTACTACTACGACGACGACTACTACTACCACTACTACCACCTGTATACGACGATCACGACGACGACTACTGCCAGGACGACGACTGGGAGAGGAGGAGTGGAAAAGGCTCGGTCGGGTTGAGAGTTGGGCGGATGCTACTACTTGGGTAGTTCTCTAAATTAGGGGTCCCTTTTAGGGTCCTTTTTGTAAGGGTGCCGTACTGTATTGGGGATGCAGAAAAGGACCCAAATTTAGAAAACTACCCACTTGTTCTGAAGATGTCCAGGTATTCCTTTGCGAGTTCGACTGAAGCTGAAATGAGCTTTCGAATGACTGCATCTTGGAGTGTCAGGAGCCGCGCAGAAGGCTTGCGCCGCCTCTGGAAACTTTGAATTGTCTCTCGCATCCTACGGTCCAAGCCTTCCCGTCTAAACCAGCCCGGTCACCGAAGCAAGCCGTTGCGCAGAGAGCTCGGCGCTGCGCGAAAGTCAGGCTGTCATCCTCTCTTTCATCCCCTATCTCCCCCCCTAACAATGAGCGAGTCTCCAAGCCAGACCTAATCATGGGCTGGTGTTGGGGCCATTTTGGCGGGTTCAGGCTGTATGTCAACTGCAAACTTCGGCGTTGAGAATGTCAGGTTCGGGGCTCGAGTTGCAGGGACTGGCGTCCTTCATGTTCTCGTTGGAAAAGACCTCGCAATTGTCCGGCTCCTTTGTTGCGCTGCGCTTGCCGCCAAGCTGAAGGAAAAGAAGCTAGAGTTGTGGCACTACGGGAAAAAGGCTGCTCAACAGATCCAGGACTCCACACAGTGCGAGAGCGACCCCGGAACGCAGCCCTCACTAGAGGCTTCGCTCCAGGATAGCACTACTTCATCGCCGAACTTTGCGCACTCACCGGGTTTCACCTGCTCTGTGCCGTAGACATAGAAAGCATCCGGTTCGTCTCCACCCTCTGCAAATTTCATTCTCCCGTGGTCGAGCGTGTCAACATAGCCAACTGCACAGCCATACTGCCCGCAGGTGGAATCGAAGATATCCGGATTCAAGGAGAGCACAACACGGTCGCCGTAGTTGATGAACCTCAGGAAAGATCTTCATCAGGAGCCTTTGCAAACAAGGTGAGTACTCTGGTATTCCCAACAAGACTTGCGGCTCATGTTGTGAAAACACAGGCCATAAGTACGAACGGCAGAAGGCCGGAAGTTTCAACTCCACAACTCGCATACCAGCAAGCAGCGTGACGTGTTCAGGTAGAACAATAAATCCCTCGGTCCTCTACATCGCCATCACGCTTGATTCCATCAGGCAGAAAGATAAGAAGGGGAAGAAGGTAACACTCCATCAATGTCTTCACCTAGCACCTATAATACCTTCAAACACTTCAACTTCTTCCCGTGAACCGGATTGCCTTCTCGGTTTCGATCTCGATCTAGTCACACATGTGGCTAACCCTAAGTCCCAAAACCCCCTGCTGTCCTGACGTCCTAAATCCCAGGCACCCGCAGTACTCGGTCTGCACAGTGAAGTCCGGCTGGTAGACCTGTGTCTCGTAGGACTCCGGTGCGAGGACCTGAGAGTTTGCCCAAAAAACGTGGCCCTGCCGCGAAATGTGAAGACTTTCTGCTATGAACTTCTAAGTGCCTTGCGACTAGAATCACTAGAAACCCTAAACCCTAGCCCTAAATCCTAGACCACTTCGCTCCTCTGCGGGAAGAAGAACTTTGCCTGTAATCCTGAGACTGGCCTCCGAAGCACGCATGGGCCTGGTTTATCCTGAAGAGTTCGAGTCGACTGGAGCTTAGGGCGGGGGCTGCATACTGCCAAAAATGCTATATAGGGGTTTTCCCAGGAAATACCTCTACTACTTCTTCAAGCCTCTCAGTGATTTCAGGGACTTTCCAAGGCCCCGCTGATGGAAGTCCGTCCCTGGGGCGCATCCCTCAACCTGACATGACCAACCCAGAGAACCCAATACCCCTTAATTAAGGAATATACCTGAAATCATGATATTAAGGCCCCTATAATTTAAGGCATATTCCTTAATTCAGGGTATTGGGTTCTCTGGGAAGCTCCGGAAGCACCTGCGCCGCCGACCGGTGACAAGCCGAAGCCGAAACCCCAAATCCTAAGATCCGTGTCGGCCTGGTAAGGCCGCATGGACCCCTCGCACTTGCCCCCCAAAACCGTAACCCCTAAACCCTAAAACCCCCCAAAACCGCAAACCCTAAACCCT